CAAAACAGAAAAGAATCACCTGTAAGCTCCTGGAATATCCTGGATTACGCAGTGTGGACAAAAATAAGAGAAACTCTACCTTGGTCAGGTGAGAGATCCACTCCCAGACGTTATCCTTTGACCTTCACACAATTGCCTCAGCGTGCATGTACAGGCATTCAGACAATACACATACACACATATATGCACACATACACATGCAGTTTCACACACATGCATGCACATTCATACACACACATGCACATGTGAACACTCATGCATGCACACACATGTACTCATACATTCATACACACACATGTACCCATGCACGCACACACACACACTAAATGAAGATAATTTTTAAAGGCTCCATGGTGTGTTCCATCCAATTCTACCTGGCACATGACTTCAGTCACAGTGGCAAGCAAGACTGCAATCACAGCAATTGACCTTACTGAGTAAAAAGGCTCGTTTATAGTCTGATGCAAGGCACCATGGGTGAAAGTCATGACTGCTTCTGAATATGTTCATAAAGTTCATGAAGCAGATGACCCCAGAGGACTGCACAGACACAGCAGCACCCGCAGTCCACTCACTATATTTGAGAATGGACTGGGCTAAGGCAACAGGAGTATAAGATGCTTCTAGAGTGGAAAGTAAGGAATGCTGTCAAAAAGGCACCAGATTCTGTGAGGAAGACACTGGCCGCTTTCACCTCAAGTATATATGCCACAAACATAATCAATCCCCATTGACACTGAAGGACAAAGCAAGGTAAAAAGGTCACAGAGTGTGCAGGAGCCATGGCTCAGTGGTTAAGAAAAGGTCACAGAGTAAAGTCCCCCCCCCCAACCCCCAACACCAGTTAACTGTTCAAGAGGAAAGTGAAAGGTATCTACTGCAGTCTAACCACCTGGAGAGACAGAATCCAAATATTAGGATGCCCACTTACATACTGACCCACTCAAAGGCTAGGACAGCTGGCTATTATCTTACTAAGGAAGGAAAATAAGAGTATGGCCGGCCAGGAATATGAAATTATTAGCTTGATGGATGGAAGGAGACTTTGAGAACTGCCATCTACACCTGCGTGGACATAGCTTCAGGAACTATGGTGACTCCATACTGCTTGTTCTATTCTGGCCAAGTGGGAAAAAGACTTTGGCTACTTGTAAAGAAATGTCTTTAGACCTGGGGGTGCAGGGATATGCCACACACCTTTAGTCTCAGCACTCGAGAGGCAGAGGCAGGTGGATCACTGAGTTCAAGGCCAGCCTGGTCTACAGAGTGAGTTCCAAGACAAGCAGGGCTACAAAGAGAAATCCTATCTCAACCGCACCCCCTACACACACACACACACACACACATACACACACACACACACACACACAAGCCTTAAAAAGCACTCCTTTCTCCAAATTGTTGTTTTCTCTACTATATCCACTTTGAATAACTGAGTTTTGTGGGTTCATTACATTTTTCTATTCTTCCAAGTAAGGCCATCCCTAATTCTATACCATATAAAACCATCCAAAGAGTGCTATATGTTATACTGGGGATTTCTATTCTGCTTAACCATAAAGGTGCAAAGCGGCAACCCTCATGAGGTGTTGTGAGTCTCTGGCTCTTGACATGGTCTGGTACTCACCTGAACATGGCCCTCCCAGTGTAATCCTTTGCTCTAGCCATGGCTCTTTCCCTTGCTCTAGGATGGCTATCACATCTGGTTTGGATATGGCAAGACCTTGAGAAGAGGAGAAAAAAAAAACACCATGTGGTCATACTGTGAGACCTTGGAATTCAGATCCAGGGCCCTGTCACTGAATAGGGAGAGAATTGTAGAATGGACCAAACAAGCAAACAAACAAAAACAACAAACAACAAAAACAAAAATGTAATAGTGGCCTATGAGTAGCAGAAAACACAACTTCAAACAATTGGCTGCCTTTTGGTAGCTTGAAAGTGACCAGTCACGGAACTGAAAGGCACTCAATGACTAAATGACCAGGAAGGGGCATGCCGAAGGTGCCCAATAACTGACCAGGAAGGGGCATGCAGAAGGTGCCCA